TTCAGAACCAGTTGTGCTGGCAGTGGATGAAAATCAGGCAGCAAAACTGAAGAGTTATCTCATGATAAGGAAGCAAATGTGGAATGATCTAGTGCAAGCCAGCGTCCCATGATCAGAAATAATCAGGGTCATAACATCAAAAATGTTTCATCATTGACAAAAGTTAGTGCCTGTGCAAAAAAATTCTTTCCCCCTGTCAGGTCAAAGTGAGACACTACCTGGAAGATGCCAAAGCAGCAGAAATTGACTACAAAGAAAGTTGTTTGACAATGGACCAGAAAACAAGAAGAAGTCTCTGATGCCTGCAAAAATGCTTTGATTGAGCAAGCCCAATTATACACTTCTAGGCAAGGAAATCCTTTTGAATTGAAAGTAACAGTTCTAGGTGATAAACTCTCATGGGCATTGTGGCAGACAACTAGGCTAAAAAGTCACAATCTGTAGGATTTTGGTCCAAGGCATTACAAGGCTCTGTTATTATAACCCAATGGAAATATGAATTAAAGCCGTAATTTGGGTATTGCAAGAAACAGAAAGAATCACAGGCCAAAATAGTGAGACTTTACCCCTCCAGTATAAAACATGGTGAGGACTGAAATTCTTCCAGATGGTATCTCTCCCAAAATGTTAACCACAGGGTGAGTGCAATGGATTCTGTGCTGGGGTTGCAATTTATTAATCTGTAAGTGACCATTCCTATAACAAGCCCTGACAATGCAGTGTGGTTCTGTACTCCACGTTCTCCCCTCCTACATCCTCTGCTACCATCATATTCTCAAGTTCCTATATTTCAGGAATTTTGATGATTTCCTGTGCCTTACCAAGGGGGTTAGCATTGGAACTATGTTCTGGTGTCACACACCCAACATCAAATTGGAGTTCAATCCGAAAAAGCATAAACCACAGCCCTCCAATCTCTGTGGGCAATTGCTCCATCTCAAGTTCCCAAGCCTGGAGCAACATTATCTGGAGGAGCTGGAGCAACACTGTATGTATAACTGGGCAGAGATGACACTCCTCTTTTCCTCCCTTATCACAACCTGGCTCCTCGAGCTTTGTAGGCCACACAGCAAGCACATACCTTGAATCCATTCCTGCAGGAGCAATATGTATCAACTTGTGTGTAGGTTTCTATTGTAACTAAACTTATTATTATTCTTTCAGAGTGGGAGATTCAGGCAAAGTTTATTAGAGAAGCCCCCCCGTTGTGTCACAAGGTGTAGAAAGGATCTCCTGGTTTTCTAAACTCCTTCTCACAGAGGAGCTGAGTGTGGCTAAATCCAATCCCTGCCCCAGATTTGGTCAACAGTTTATGTCTAAAGCAGCATACAGGTGTAACTCTACCTTTATACACCTTTGTCCTGCAGGATTAAGGATGGTAAAATGAATATATATATATAAATAAAACAAATTAATTCTTAATTTGATTACAATGATAATGCTTAGAGAAAAACACCTAACTTCTAGCACAGAGCATTATTTTTGAGGCAATATTTAAGCAATTATTTTAAAGTTAGAAAAAACAATTATAAAGTAGAGATTGATGTTACTCACCCGTACCAGCAACTGTGGGCAAATCTCTTTCACTCAGCCTCAAGGCATAACCTTGAGGGGCATCCCCACTCAAGGGAAAAATCTTCACACACCCCAGGAAGGTGTGCTGGAGTCCTTGCCATGAAAAAATGGGACTAGCCTTTTATAGGATAAAGTCATTGACTGTCAGTCACATTTGTTTTTTACAGTATGTGTTGCCAGGCTTACTCAGCAAAATATGCTTTGCTGCTGAAAAAGGTGTGATCAGCTCTTTGGTTTCTCCTGCTCAACAGTTCTTCCTCTCACTTCCACATCAGACCCTGCACATCCCTGCTGTTCCTGGCTTCACTCAGGGAGCACCTGCCCTGCATATTCTCCTGAGAGTTTGGTCAAGCTGGTCTCAGCCTTGAACATTAAACCCAGCAGACCCTGCTGGCTCAATCCACCACTGAAAACTTGTGCATGAGACGAAGTTCAAGCTGCTCTATTCCCATCCTGCTGCACTCTTCAACATCACAAATGCTGTTCTGAGTTACAGAGGATGTGCTCCTTGGACAGGACTGCTGGACCAGGCAGCATGGAGGACAATACTCAGCATCTTCAGGACTTCATACATGGAATCACACAACCTCACAGTGGTGCCTGACTAACTGTGTGGTTTAATTCCCTGACAGGGGGGGTGGGATAGTTAACACAGAGCATTATATGTGTACATGTTTGTTCTTTCTTTAAGCTTTATTATGTACCTCTGTAAATTCCCCACCCCACATCACCAGCCGCAGCAGCCATGGTTTCTTGAGCAAGGGGGTGGAATGGGTTAAAAGAGGGAGACTGGCAGGAGGATTGGACGTGGCTCAGTGATCTTGCAGCTGGGAATATCAGCTGGGAATCTGGCACAGACTGAGTTTAACCATGGCAGTGCCCCCACATGGGTGCCTCTGCCTGGGGCTTGTTTGGGGATCCCCCGGTTAGTGAGGGAAGGGAAATGAATTTACTCCTTATGTTTTAGCCACGGATTTGTGGCTGTCCCAGCTGCTTGCCTGTGCCCACTCACACATTTACATTCACACTTACACAGCTACTCAGACACAGACAGGTTTAGGGCATAGATATATTTCTATGTCTCAGCTATTTTCACTTAGATGAGACCTATTTAGACAGAGACACATTTACCTATATGTATTTACACTTGTATAGAATGACTAGTCAGCCTTATTTCTATTTACACCTTTATGTGTCTATTCAGACTATGCCTGTTTACACTTCTATATATTTAGGTCATATATTAACATATTGCACAGAAAATATATTTAGACTAGAGACTTGTTTGGACTTAGATATTTACACTTACATCTATTTACACATTGGTAATTTCCAGATATCTATTTGGTATCTGTTTACAGTTACGTATAATCTCTATTTAGACTACATATATCATCTCCTTTGACTATAACACATAACAAGAGTAGATGGCTCTAGCAATTCAGGCTTCTTTCTTTTTTAAATTCCTTCATATATAACTCTAAGATGCTTTTATGTAGGTTTTTTTTTTAGTTTCATAAAATTTTTTTTTAGTTTTAATTTTTTTGTAATTTGTAATTGAATATTATTTTCAATGTGTATATAACGATGAGATATTTCTCTTTCTTTCAAACCTCTCAACACTGTTAACAGTTTAATAGTTTTTATTCCCTCTCCATGAAATTTTCATGCGTTTTTGGGCTGTGACACTTTTTGCGTGGGAGCCCCCCACGGACCCCCTCATCCTCCCCACACCTGCTCCTCCGCTGCACCACTGCCCACCCCCCACGCTGACATTCGGTTGTCCCAAAACACATCATCTCACCCCAATCTCCCAAAGAGGCACAAAACAAGGGAAAGAGCTCCCACAACTGGCAGCTCATTAGATTAACACTGCCTTAAACAGACAGACTCCCCCCTCCAGAAAAACGGGACATCGCCCCCAACATTTCCAGTCCTTGCACTGCTGCTGCACAACACAGCTGCTTCGTCAGTAAAACTGCAACTGAAGCGTAAAACTTCAAAAGAGTAAAATAAAGAACAAATCTCAGTAACTCACTTTATACTGAAGAGGGGGGTGTCTGTTTATACACACCCAGGAAAGATACTCCCATGATGTGTGAAGTGTTTGATTTTCCTTTTGCATTAAGCTGAACTGGCACAGCTGTGAACTAGTGCCATTGAATTTTCCATCTCCAAAACACCCGGTTCTACCTTGACCAGGGGTTTTTGTGCTCCACGCTTAGGAACAACTTCTGACCAGAGCTGCACTGCTCAAGAGAGATCCTGCAGCCGTCACCACCTGTGGCACCAAAGGTACCAAAAGAAACAAACCTACCCCTGTGCTCGTGAGGAATCCCCAGCCCTCAGCTCCTCCTCGCTGTGGTCCAGCTCGCCCCAAATGCTCCTCCCATTCCAAGGGCTGCCCACACAGCATCTGCAAAGCCAAAGGGAAGTGCTTAGCACAGCTGCCACATGTTTTTCTGCTCTCAAGACACCAACACAGCCAACAACCACATCACCTCCTTGGAACCTCTGATCAGTGTGTGGCTTCGCCTCTTCTTAACACAGGAGTCAGAATCTTCCAGAACACGGTTCTGTGGATGCCAGTGGAGCTGTGTAATCTCCTCTTGTCTCCAGAGAGCAATTCCATACTGACCAGAAGCACCGAGAAATGTGCTTACTGGGGAGGAATGAAGCAATTCCAGCAGATGCTCCTCCACAGAAAAAGCTCTGAGGGTCTCAGGCCCAGGCCAGGTGCTCTGTCAGTGTTTGGGGACGGGGACCAGCCTGCCCTGACTGCAGCAAACCCTGCAGAGGGGTGGGCTGGGAGGGAGAAGCCCAACCTGTGGTGATGTGGCCACAATGGCCATCAGGGATCGAATCTCTGGGTTGCTTTCCACAGTCGGCAGCTTGGAGGAGCTTTGCCCGGGGCAGCAGGGAAAGAGCAAAGAGGGTGCAGGTGGAGCTGCTGGCAAAGGCTGACAGTGGGGAGCTCCAAGGAGTGTTTGGAGTGGCACACGGAGCCAGCGAGGGGGATCTGGAGAGGTGTCCACGGGCTGTTCATGGAGGAACATGTTCCCTGAGGAAGCCCCGGGGACCCTTCTGCCACCAGAGGCAGCCGCCTCAAGACGGGCACGGGGAGCTCCCGGGGCTCCCTGGAAATGCCGGCAGGGCTGTTCTGTTGCTGCCTTTGCGCCAGGGAGGGCGGGACGCGTCACGACCCGAGGGCAGCACAAAGCTGGAGCCTGTGCGAGGGGGGGGGAGCCAAGCAGAGCGACCCCAGCGCAGGGAGGGACAGCCCGAGGGTCCGCGCCCCTCACGCCTCAGGAATCCCTGCCCGCTCCTCCGCCACCAGGGGGCAGCACAGCGCGCTCGCTCCGCGCAGGCGCGGAGTCCTCGCTGCAGGGCGAGGTCGGACTCCATTTCCCGGCGGGCCGTGGGAGGTCGCGAGGCGTGGTTTGTGTGCGTCACTTCCGGTGCGTGTGCGCTGAGCTGGCTCTGTGGCGGCGGCGGGCACGGTGAGGGCGGTCGGGCCGAGTGGGGCCGTGAGCTCGGCGGGCGGGGAGGGGCTGGGGGAGGCCGGGCCGTGGGCTCTGAGGGGCCGGGACGGACCGAGCTGCGGGCCCCTGTGCTGCGCGGAGCGGCAGGAGCAGCCCGGGCTGGACACGCTGGTGCGGCCGGAGCGGGGCAAGACTGGGGGGAAGGAAGGGGCCTCTGGCACAGGCAGCGGGTCCGGCTGGGCAGGGGGTTCCGTGACAAACCCAGGTGGGTCAGCGAGGCCAAGGGCAGGTGCTGAACGTGCACCAGGGCGACCCTGAGCATAAACACGGGCTGAGGGAGAATGGCTGGAGAACAGCCCAGAAGAGAAGGACTTGGGTGTGTGGGGTGACAAGAAGCTCAACATGACCCAGCCACGTGCACTGGGAGCCCAAAAAGCCAACGCTGTGCTGGTCTCATCCCCACAGTGTGGGCAGCACATGAGGGGGGAAATTCTGCCCCTCTGCTCTGCTGAGGTGAACCCCCCTCTGCAGAGCTGCCTCCAGCCCTGGGGCCCTCAGCACAGCAAGGACCCGGAGCTGCTGGAGCAGGTCCAGAGGAGGCCACAGAGATGCTCCAAGGGCTGGAGCCCCTCTGCTCTGGACACAGGGCTGGGAGAGCTGGGGATGTTCAGACTGGAGAAGGGAGGGCTTCATGGAGACCTCGGAGCCCCTACCACTGCCTAAAGGGGCTCCAAGAGAGCTGGAGAGGGACTTTGGACAAGGGCCTGGAGTGATTGGACAAGACTTCCCATTACCAGAGGGCAGGGTTAGATGGGATACTGGGATGAAATTCTTGGCTGTGAGGGTGGTGAGGCCCTGGCACAGGTTGCCCAGAGAAACTGTGGCTCCCCTGTTTCTGTAAGTGTTCAAGGCCAGGTTGGATGGGGCTTGGAGCAGCCTGGTCTAGTGGAAGGTGTCCCTGCCCATGGCAGGAGGTAGAACTGGATGGGCTTCACAGCCCCATCCAAGCCCAACCACCCTGTGACTGTGGAGAGTGGAGCCCCTGACCCTGAAGCAGTTTTTGCCTGTCAGAGCCCTACCAGGTGTCCTCACAGGTCCTGTTTATAATGTCTGTGGTCTCCTTGTCCTCTCAGCAGGGCAACTCCTGGGGCACTGGGTTTGGGTGAATTGGGACACCTGGCCTGGAGCAGGGATTTGTGGGGATCACGAGGCTGCTGGAGGGAGTTGGTGGTTCCTCAGTGGCTGAAAATAGGAAATAAGAACAAATGTTGGAAGTGAGGAGCTGGTGCTTTCTGAGAAGAACTAACTCGGTCATGTAAGAGAGTGCTGGAAAAGCTGCCAGGCTTCACAAGGGCAGTTAACTGTTAATTGCTAAAACTGGCGAAACCGTTAATTTCCAGAGCTTTCAGAGTTACTGGAAGAGGCTTTGTGATCCAAGAGCTTTGCCCATTGCTGAGATGTGCAGAGCCAGGAGTTGGATGTGATGATCCTTGTGGGTCCCTCTCAGCTCGGGCACGTTTGGTGATTCTGTAAAGGGCAGAGATATTGGCTTTGAAAAGGGAGGAAACTATTGACTTTTCTTCAGATCTGGGACATGGCTGTGCCAATTCTTACATCGTCCCAGGAGAAAGTTCAGAAATTTCAAACGTTCCACTGACCTGTGTTTGCAGATGAAGCTCCTGCTCCTCGCCCTGTGTGCCCTGGTTCCCGTGTCCCGCTGTGAGGATGGTGCCAGGCTCCTGGCCTCCAAATCCCTGTTGAACAGATACGCAGTGGAGGGCAAGGACTTGACTTTGCAGTACAACATCTACAACGTTGGCTCCAGGTAAGCCCTGCCCAGGCTTCGGTGTGAACCAGGAGCAAACATTCCATGTGTGGCTGCAGGGCAGGAGGTGATTTCTGAGCTCCGTGATCTGCTGGTGCCTTTGCTCCCTTGAACTCTGAGCTTTCCAGCAGTGCCTAAAGGATTGACCCTGCAATTTGCCTTTTCCTTCCTCTTCCCTGGTCCCTGCTTTCCCCACGTGCTCAAGCTGTCAGTCCAGCATGGACATGTAGCTCCTGTGGTGTTCTGGGACACTGCTCCCCGTGCACACAGCTCTCTTGACTTGCTTTGTGGGCTCTTTTGCACATTGGACTCCTACAATATTAATGAGATACTGTAACTTTGTAGGTGGGATTTGTTTATTATTTAGGCCAAAGCATGTGTCTGTGGGATGGTATCTATCTGCCAAATTCTGTTATAGAAAAACCAATGTGTTTCCTGTCTTTGTGGCTGCTTCTCTCAGCTGTGCCTTCCTCTCTCTGCAGTCTCCCCATAAGACACCTCAGCTCTCCTCACCTTATTGTGTTGGAGACTTTTCCTCTTTCACAAATCAGTTCTTCCGTTGGGTCAGGAGGGAACTGTCAGCCTGCTTTGCTGTAGATCCCGTGAGCAGATGCCAAGTCTTAAGATTCTGTTCTTATCCCTGCCTTTGTTGTGTCCAGCGCTGCCCTGGATGTGGAACTGTCGGATGATTCCTTCCCCCCAGAGGATTTTGGCATCGTCTCTGGCATGCTCAACGTCAAGTGGGACAGGATCGCTCCGTATCTTTTTAATGGTTTGAAATGTTCTTCCCCCTGAGCATCCTGCAGCTTCTTCCTGTCTTCATGCCCTTTCCCAGAAATTCCCACATGCCAGAGCCTGGACAGGGTGCCCAATCCAAACACCTGCTCTTTTGGATGGTGCTGTGTAAAAATAAAGCTCCCTGCAGACAGGAACAGGTCCCTGAGTTCCTCTGCCTGGGGAGGAGCAGCTGGGTCAGCCTGGGGGGATCAGGCTGTGACCTTAAGCATTCTGTGACCATAAACATTCATAAACAGCAGCACTGCCTTTTCCACCTGTGTTTTCTCCCTGTAACGAAACCCAACCATTCCCCTTAACGCCCGGCTCCCAGAGCGAGTAACGTGTCCCACACTGTGGTTCTGAGGCCTCTCAAAGCTGGGTACTTCAACTTCACCTCTGCCACCATCACGTACCTGGCACAGGAGGGAGGACAGGTCGTGGTAAGTGGAGGATTTAGAGGAGCCCTGCAGATCCCCCTGACCCTGCTCTTGCAGCTGCGGGGTCGGGGCGCTGTCCCTGAGCCCTCACCCTGCCCAGCTCTGCCCCAAGAAGGAGAGTGGTCAAGCCTGTCTCTTCCCTGCCTTTTCCAGGTTGGTTTCACCAGTGCTCCCGGGCAGGGAGGAATCTTGGCTCAGCGGGACTTTGACAGGAGGTTCTCCCCTCACTTTGTAAGTGCCTTTCAGCTGACAGTGGAAATGGCTCTGCAGCAGCTGCAGCCCAGCAGTGGCTTCCTGCTGCACGTGGTGCGTGTGGTTTGTCCTGCAGTCACCTGGAGAGCTCCAGGGGCATTGCAGTTAATCCCTGTCCGTTCTCCACAGGAGTCTCACAGAGGCAGCCAAGAGTTTCCATCCCAGCTCCCTCTGTGGAGGAACTGCACTGTGGGGTTTGAGCCAGAAAACTGGGGAGTAGAATCTTAGAACCTCCTAGGTTGGGAGGGACCTACAAGGATCCTGGAGTCCAACTCCTGGCCCTGCACAGGACAACCCAGCGATCCCATCAAGTGCCTGAGAGCGTTATCCAAACCCCTTGAGCTCTGTCAGGCTTGGTGCTGTAACTCCTTCCCTGGGGAGCCTATTCCAGTGCCCAAACACCCTCTGGGGGAAGAACTTTTTCTAATATCCAGCCTAACCCTCCCCTGACACAGCTCCATGCTGTTCCCTCAGGTCCTGTCCCTGGTCACACAGAGCAGAGATTAGTGCTGCCCCTTGTGAGGAACCTGCAGGCGAGGTCTCCCCTCAGTGTCCTCCTCTGGCCTCACTGCTCTAAGACTCCTCTGGACTTGACTTGTTTTGACTTTTCTCCAACCATTTCTCCCTCTAGTTGGATTGGGCAGCATTTGGTGTGATGACCCTACCCTCCATCGGGATTCCCCTGCTGCTGTGGTACTCGAGCAAGAGGAAGTATGACACCCCCAAGACCAAAAAGAACTGAGTGGAGAAAAATGCCACCAGCACCCCAAGGCTCAGGAAAGGACAGTCATGACCCCACCAAAGCCGTGGGTGCTTTTGGGTTGCACCATCCTCTGCCAGGCATTGCCTGGGCTGTGCTTCGACCCTCCCGGCAAAGGGACTTGATCGCTGTGATTGGGTGTCTTCTGGGTTTTTAAAAAAAAGAAACAAACCAGTAAAAAACCCAAAAAAAGTCCCAAAATGCTTTGTTAACCCCTTTCAAGCAGGAATCGGCCCTACTTCTCTGCAGCCGCAGTGATACGAGTGTGGAAGTGCCCAGAGGGTCTGTCTGTGGGGCTCTGCCCCCTGTGCTCCCTCCCAGCCCCCACTTGCCCTGCTGCATCTTCTCCAGTGTCCTGTCTTGGGGCCCCTCTGTTGCTGCGTGCCCTGTGGGAAGGAGCTTGCTCTGGTGCACCACAGACCTGTTTCGATAGAGGATGTCAGAGCTGCAGCTCTACTCCAAGGGGTGGTACTGGAGGCCCTGTCAAAGCTGTTCTCTGTCCCACCAGCTTGCCCAGGGCCATGTAAAGAGATGTGGGAGGACGGCAAGGAGGAGGATTTTAAATTCCTCAAGAATGAGGCGCAGGGATCCCCAGACTGCCCCTTCCTGCACTGGGGATGCTCTGCTTAACTCAACCCCGCCCCAGACAGTCTCCAGCATCTGGGTGCCCAGAGATTAGAACACTTCCCGACCTCACTGGTGCAAAGGCAGTAACAAAACAAACCTGCCAGCATTTCCAGGGAGCTCCGAGAGCTCTCCTGTGCCCGTGTTTTCAGGCAGCTGCCTCTGTGCACATACTGCTCCATGAACAGCCCGTGGGCACCTCCAGGGCCCCCTGGCTGGCTCCATGTGCCACCCCAATGCCCTCTCGTCCTAGAGCTCCGAATTCTGAGCCGTTGCCAAAAGCTGTCCCCGCGCCCCCCTCACGCCCCCTCCGCCCCTCGGTTCGTGGGGGCGACACTGAAGAACCGGCCGGGACACAAAATGGCTGCCGCGGTGTGGGGAGGGGCAGCCCCTGGCCGTGAGGGGACACCGGAGCCAGGGCGGGGCCGCATCAGGACCCGCCGCTCCCCTGGGACCACTCTGTGGGGGGATGAAGGGGTTGTTGAGGACTTCGGGTGCCAGAGCGAGCTTGGCCGTTCTGTATGAGGTGTTCGGTGTGAGGGAGCACCGCCGCGCACCGGTGCGCACACTGCGCATGCGCAGCCCCGTCCCGCCCCGCGGGTGTCACTCCCCAGCCGCAGGCCGGTGGGCGTTCCCGGGGTGAGGCGGTGCCGCTCCTGATTGGCCTTCGGGCGCGCGCCCGTGCCGCGATTGGCCGGCGAGGAGCGCGGGGCGGGGCGCGCTGCGGCGGCCCCGTGAGGCGGCGGGTCCGGGGCTCCAGAAGCTTCCGCCGCTCTCCGCCCGCCGCGATGATGGGCCCGCGCCCCGTCCTCGTCCTCAGTGAGTGCCGCCTCCCCGGCCCGGCCCCCCCCGGCGAGGTCCCAGGGTGGAGGGTGAGGGGAGGGCAGCGCCGCGCCCCCGCCCCGCATTGCCAATCGGCCGCCCCGCCGCCATGTTGGGTCCCCTCATGGCCAGGCGCTCCCTCACGGAGCGCGGCCCAGCCGGGCCCGCTCTGCTTCCGGGGGTCCGCTGGGCACCGCTGCCGCCACCGGCGAGTCAGAGCTGCCTCTGGTAGCCCCCTGCCCACAGCTTCGGCTTGGCCGCTCTGTGCGCCCCGCGCGGGAGATCTCGGGCCCCCGCTGGTGTCAGGCCTTTCCCGGCAGCTCTCCGATTCTCTGTCCCGTTTTTTCTCGGGCCTTTTCAGCACGTTTCTTTGTGCTACCCCGTTTGAACCCCCCTGTGAACCCTAGGTCTCAGACCCCCAGCATTGGAAGCTTATGGAGCTGCTCCAGCGAGTCCAGAGATGTTCTGAGGGCTGGAGCCACTCTGCTCTGGAGTCGAGGTGGGGGTGTTAACCTGGAGAGGGGAAGGCTCCAAGGAGATCTTAGAGCTCCTTCCAGTGCCTAGGGGAGCTCCAGGAGAGCTGGAGAGGGACTTGGGGCAAGGGAGAATGGCTTCCCGTTGCTGGAGGATAGGGTTAAATGGGATATTGGGAAGAAATTCTTCCCTGGGCAACCCAAACCATTTTATGATTTTCTCACCACCCTCCAACACAAGGATTTCTTTCTCCTTGGGTATTGCATTCCCATCTCTCCATCCATTCCATTCCATTCCCTATTAACCTAGCAGGCAGGCTGTTGGAGCCCAGGGCCCCTTTTGTTCTATCTTACACCTCCATGTGGATGCACCTACTCTCGAGTAAATCTGTGCATACCTGGGCCAGACTTGCAATAGCAGAAGAGCAGCCTTGAGCCTAAGGATGCTCTGGGGCAGAGCCTGTTGACAGCTGGTCCCCAGCTGTGACTGTGAGCCTGTGGCACCCCAGGGGCTGCTCACCCTCATGTGCCAAAGGCAGCACAGACGGATTAACTTCATATTCACCCGGTTCTTTGAACTGTGCCTGAGCTTCTGTAACTTTTTGTGACTGAACAGTGCTGTGCAGCAGCACCTTCTCGGTCATGTGGGATCAGGCAGATCCTAGTGAGTCCCTGCAGTTTGATTTTTCTGGGGCAAGAGGTTTCTGTTTCAGGGTTGCAAAGCTTCGTCTCATTTAGGATGCTCACAAGAAATTCTGTTATAATAGGGAGCGTTTTTCACTGACACTCTTTTGTCAGTGTGTTCCTCATAATGACTGCAGTATTTATAATGTAAACTCTGAATTTAGAACTGGTCACATGTCAAATGTGTGTGGCTGAGAGGTGTGGCTGTATCCTTGCTGTATTGTACTTCATTGCACTTGATTAAATTCATTTTTTCTGTGTGCATTAGGTCAGAACACAAAACGTGAGTCTGGAAGAAAAGTCCAGACAGGAAACATCACTGCTGCGAAGGTACCAAATTCTCCTATCAGGCTGTTTTGATTATCCTTTTTTTTCCTCCATGTGTGTGTATATTTCTGAGGCAAAGCTGGATCTGAAGCATATTTTCTCTATTGTATATGAACCCAGAATAGAAGAAGCTACATAGGAAATAATTTTCTGTGTTGACAGAAGATATTTTTATACTGTTACATAAAAATTCTGTATAAAAAATAAACCACCTGCACTGTTCATGTAAGGGGTGCCCTATAATAATAATACTTGCCTGTATTACTTCATTACTTCATTAATTCATTACTTCATTTCTTCGGTTTCCTCTAGACCATTGCTGACATCATCCGAACATGTTTAGGACCAAGAGCTATGATGAAGGTGAGAACCTGTGCTGTTTTGTCCCACGTGGGGTGTTTCCAGGCAGCTGCATCACCGGAGTTGCAGCACAAGTGTTTGTTTTCTTGTGGTTGCAGATGCTTTTGGACCCCATGGGTGGCATTGTGATGACCAACGATGGCAATGCTATTCTTAGAGAAGTAAGTTTCTCCTGAAGGATTGTCTCACTTAACACGTGAGTCAGAATATTCTGGAGTCTTGGGTGCCAGTAGAGCTGTATGATCTCATCTGTCCTGAGAGCCAGCAAGTACTAGTGAGCTCCACCAAGAAAGGTGCTCACTGGGGAGGAATGAAACATTTCCAGCAAATGCCCTTGTTCCGCAGAAATGGAGGTTTGATCCTGGGATGGGAAGTTTTCATGGAGTTTTTATAAGACTGATGTAAATGCTTTGGTAATTGTAGCTATAATCAGTTGCATCAAGACCTTCTGAGTAGACAGTGATGTTCACAATGCCACATAACGATACCAAGAAATTTTTGTTGTCTCTCTGGTGCAAGTGCTGTTAAAAGAACATCAAAAAACTCTAATGCCTGAAAAACTGTGAGAGACACAACATTGTCAAATACAAGGGCTTGGTTTTGGTCAGAAAAGAAGGAAGAACTTTGCTGTGTTTTTGCAGAATGCCTTTAGCTGTATGAAAGGTGTGATATTCGTTCCATTGAGCAAGGCAAGATGTTTGTACTTTAGTATTCTGGAACAAATCCATACCCCTTGCTTCTGCACAGATCCAAGTCCAGCATCCAGCTGCAAAATCAATGATAGAGATCAGCCGCACGCAGGATGAAGAAGTTGGAGATGGGACCACATCTGTCATTATCCTTGGTAAGGAGACTGACTCAGACACAGTTTGTATAGAGGCTGGAGTTGGCCCTCTTTGCTCATCAGGGCCCATAATGAGTTATTTACCAACCTTAAAATGGAAATTTTTTTTTTTACTGTGCAAGAGCATGCTTTGTTCATGAGACCCTTAGGTGATCAGCTCCTTGCTTTGATCACCTTTCCCTGGAATAAGTACTGTTAAGGGTAAAGAAAGGTATAGGTGGTGCTAGAGCTCCTTGCATGGATAGAAGATACATTTTGTCTGGTATGCTGCTCTTCTGTCTTGAGTGGCGATTATCCTCCTAATTTATATGAGGGATTTTGATTTATTTTTTAATTTTTTTTTAGCCGGAGAGATGCTCTCTGTTGCTGAACACTTTCTTGAACAGCAGATGCACCCAACTGTGATCATCTGGGCTTATCGTAAGGCTCTGGATGACATGATCAGTATTCTGAAGAAAATTGGGTAAGTATGGGCTGGTGGGAGTTAGAAACGGGGGATGTGGGCTTTCTGTACTGCTTCAAGCTGCTGCTTCAGCCAGTTATGTTAGAATATAACTTAACTGGAGAGGGACTCAAAGGGACAAATAGCTTGGAGTAATACTCAGTTTGCTCTTTGGTTTTTCCTTGTCCCAGCACTCCAGTGGATGTGAACAACAAAGAAATGATGCTTAAAATAATAAAGAGTGCGATAAACACCAAGGCAATAAACCGCTGGTCTGACTTGGCCTGTAGCATCGCTCTTGAGGCCGTTAAGACCGTGGAATTTGAAGAGAATGGCAGAAGGGAAATTGATATTAAAAAATATGCAAAAGTAGAAAAGGTGAGTGTGTCCTGCTGTTTCTTATCTCTCTGTGCCCTTTTCTTGTTCTGAACTAGCTGACTGTAGGGTGCAGTGGGAAGAATTTTCTGTTACCTCTCTGCAGTCTGCAGACATAACCACCCTCAAAGATATTTCAGTCAGTGCTGTTGGTCTTGCTGGTTTACACCGCAAACAGGGGCTGTTATTTCAACCCTTTTGGAATGTTTGTCAGAAAGATAATTTCAGTTGCATTTGGAAGATGGAAAAACGTGTTGCCAGGCAGTAGGATGTGAAAAGTTTCTTAAGCTCTTCCACAGCTTCCCACTTGAAATCTAAGTCAACATGCTCTTAAAATTAAACTTTGTATCATGACCTGGATGCGCTATGATTACCCGGGAGAGGTTTTCCCTTTTCTGTACATGGGACAGACAGTTTCAGGAGAAACTACAGGTTTTTGTAGACTAAACTGGCTCTTCTCATTTCCCCCCTTCCTTGTGTCTGTCAGATTCCAGGTGGTTTTAGTGAAGACTCGTGTGTTTTGCGTGGAATCATGGTGAATAAAGATGTGACCCATCCCAGAATGCGTCGCCTTATTAAGAATCCACGCATTGTCCTTCTGGATTGTTCCCTAGAGTACAAGAAAGGAGAGAGCCAGGTAAAGTGGGTCCTGTTGGAGGTGTCCACCATTCTTGATTTAGGACATGTAAAGTGAACAAATGCAGATGGCTTGTTAAAAGCATGAGTGGTGAAAGGCTTTCTGTGTTGTGCCTCTCAGAGGCCTTCTGCACACATGGGCTAATTCTGCCGTGGAGTCCAGAAAAACAGGAGTGAGGCCCCAGCGCTTTGACTCACTGAAGCAGCTACAGCAGTTTGTGTATCTATGTGCTGGTAAAGAGCCAAAGAAATATTTCTGAGCTTGAATTAATGCTAAGGCTCAGCTGACACGATGTCACAGTTTATTTGATCTGTGGTGTTCACCCCTGACTCTTTCCCTGGCGATACTGGAGGAGTTTGGTTGTTTGACCTGGGGGATGTGTGTCAAACATGGTGAAGCGTTGGGATGAACACACTGAGCTGTTTACGTGTCTTTTGTGCAGACTGACATTGAAATTACGCGGGAGGAAGACTTTGCCCGCATTCTGCAGATGGAGGAGGAGTACATTCAGCAGATGTGTGAGGATCTGATAAGAGTCAAGCCAGATCTGGTCATCACGGAAAAAGGAGTTTCTGGTAACAGCACACATGATCTTTGTGTTGCATTCATCTCAGTGAGGTTCATAGTGTTAAATTCACGGTTCAGAAACTTGAAAAAAAAACAACAATAGCAAACTAACACAACTCACAACTCCCCCCAAAACTGGTGTGGAACCTGGTTTTGGTTTGTATTTTAGCTTTCTAACACATAGTTGTACGCTCTGGGTATTGAAGTTGGTCCTCGATGTTGCCGTGTGAACTTGGACTCTTACAATAATATTTTGCTTTTCCAGCATTTGGGAAAGATACCAAAATATAAGTGAGGCTGAGTCTTAAAACTCTTGAGAGATGTGCTGCCATTTTGCTTTGCAGCCTGGTTTAAGAAGCTACGTTTAGGGTTTTTTCCATAATCCTTTTTGCTTTAAAGAGTGGAACTAGAATAGCTGAATTGATCACTGATAAACACATAAAATTTGTCATAACACCACTGATTCACCACTAAATTTGCACAAACCTCGTTTCAGACCTGGCCCAACATTACCTGATGAGAGCCAACATTACTGCCATCCGCAGGGTGCGGAAGACTGACAACAACCGGATCGCCAGGTAAGTGCTGGCTCCTGGCTGGAACCTGTTCCTGCTGTGCATGGCATGGGGGTGTTCTGAGCTCACTCCTTCTCCCCAGTGAGTGTCTGATGTAATGTTTTGGTGTGCCAGGGCCTGCGGAGCTCGCATTGTCAGTCGCACAGATGAGCTCCGGGAGGAGGATGTGGGAACTGGTGCCAGGCTCTTTGAAGTGAAAAAAATAGGAGATGAGTATTTTGCCTTCATCACTGATTGCAAAGACCCCAAGGCTTGCACTATCATCCTGCGGGGAGCAAGCAAGGAGATCTTAGCGGTAAGTGTGAGGAGAGTAAGCATGGGCTGCTTCACCTCCTGTCCCAGCCACCTTTGTGATGTCAGTAAGTCATGGCCAGAAGCATGGCCATGGGGGCTGAGCTTTCAGCTGGTGGGGTGCTCCAGTTAATAATGAGAGGGGCAGAGAGCTGGGGAAGGGCCTGGAGTGCAAGGAACAGCTGAGGGAGCTGGGGGGTCCCAACAGGGACCTCTGAGTCTCTCTACTGCTACCTGACGGGAGGTTGTAGCCTGGTGGGAGTCAAGCTCTTCACCCTGGTAGCAAGTGACAGAACAAGAGGAATGGCCTCAGGTTGCACCAGAGATTGGATATTAGGGAAAACTTCTTAATGGAAAGTGTTGTCAGGCACTGGCACAGGCTGCCCAGGGCAGTGGTGGAGTCCCCATTCCTGGAGGGTTTTAATGGCCATGTGGATGTGGCACCTGGGGACATGGGTTAGTGGTGGCCTTGGCAGTGCTGAGGGGATGGTTGGACTCTGATCTTAGAGGGCTTTTCTAACTTGAGCAATCCCGTGATCTGTGCCTGTTGCAGGAGGTGGAGCGCAACCTGCAGGATGCCATGCAGGTGTGCCGGAACGTCCTCATGGACCCGCAGCTGGTGCCTGGCGGGGGAGCCACCGAAATGGCCGTGTCCCATGCGCTGACCGAGAGGTCCAAGGGCATGACAGGTGTGGAGCAGTGGCCCTACCGTGCAGTGGCCCAGGCTCTGGAGGTCATTCCCCGGACACTGATCCAGAACTGTGGCGCCAGTACCATCCGTGTTCTGACCTCACTCAGGGTAAGGCACCAGGGGGGAGTCAGCTCCTTCCCGCTCTGCCCAGCCCCAGGAATCAGTCACCCTTCACAGCAGTGCCCTTGTCAGGCTGCCAGTAACATTCTTGTACGAACTCCCAAACTGAGAATATTCTAATGGCCTGTTACTGTTTCATGAGCCCATGGTCAGTGGGAGTTTCTAGAGGGGAATTTGTTGTCTCACCCCACACCTGTCTTTCTGCTTCCAGGCCAAGCACACCCAGGAAGGCAGCCAGACATGGGGGGTGAATGGGGAGACTGGAGCCCTGGTTGACATGAAGGAGCTGGGGATCTGGGAGCCCTTGGCTGTCAAACTGCAGACCTACAAAACAGCTGTGGAGGTAAGGAGAGGTGGGAACTCCAGAGCCTCTGTGGCATATCCCTTGGGAGAGAAGTACATCCCTCCCTGTGCACTGGGGTGTTTGGGTGGGTGTCAGACACCCAGAATGGGCTGTGCAGGTGTCTGAGCTGGCTGCTGTCAAAGGTGAGATGATGAGGGATGTGGGAGCCCAGACTCTGGCTTTCCCAAAACTTGGTTTTTGATCCTGTGCCTAAAATTCAGCATAATCCATCCCACCTTTTCCTCCAAATGGTTCTCACGTGAACAGGCTGCTCCCAGGACCAGACAGAGCTGCACCTGAGCAATCCCATGCCAGCAGCATGCTGGAATTGTCAGTGCCTTGGGAAGCTTCATGCCGGCTGGGGCTGCTGTGTGTCAGTTGCTCCCCTCATTACAGATCCTACCATTCTCTCACTGGTGTTGGATCAAAGGCTGTTTCTCGAAGGGACAATGGGTCTGTTCTCTGTCAGTCAATGAGAAAAGATGGGTGCCTTTGTTTCCATGGTGGGGGTAAAGCAGCCCCTTGCTGCTCTCATGTGCCTGCAAGGCACAGTGCCCCTTCTCCTGTGCTGAAAGAACCATAGGTTGGGGGTTGCATGGCGTGGGAACTGGGCTGGCTGGGTTTTGTTTGTTGTGCTGAGCTCCTGACGAGCCCTGGGTGTGGGGTGTTTCCTGCAGACTGCAGTTCTCCTCCTCCGTATTGATGACATCGTGTCGGGGCACAAAAAGAAGGGTGACAACCAAAGCAAGCAGCCCGCGGCGCCCGAGGCAGCCCAGGAGTGAGAGGCTGAGTGTCCACCGGGGAAAACCAGCCTTGACCTTGACACAGGGATGAGCTCAGTGCAGTGACCCAGTGCTGAGGCTGAGCTGGGGAAAGTTTGTCTGAAGTCTGGGAGGGATGGAGAAAACCCTGGACATGGGGAGAGGTCTGTTGCTGTTGGTGTCTCTGCACTGGGGGATACTGCTCCTGGGGTGAGGGTTCCAGACCGAAACTTCTCCTCTTTGCCCCAAAATAAACACGTTGTTTCAGTCTCTGTGTGTTTAATGCCCATGGAGGAGGAGGGGGGTTGTGAGCAAGTGGGTCTGTGACAACCCCAGGAGGTTCAGTGAGGTCCAGGGCAGGTGTTCAACCTGCTTCCAGGCAACCCCAAGCACAAACACAGGCCCAGGGAGGACTTGGGGGTGTGGGTTGACAAGAAGCTCAACATGACTCAGCCACGTGCACTGGGAGCCCAGAAAGGCAACACTGGGCCGGGCTCATCCCCAGCACTGTGGGCAGCACATGAGGGGGGAAATTCTGCCCCTCTGCTCTGCTGAGACTCCACCTGCAGTGCTGCCTCCAGTGCTGGGCCCCCCAGCACAGGGAGGATGTGCAAGGAGGAGCAAGTCCAGAGAATGAGATATGGGGGAAAAATTCCTTCCTGTTGTGGTGAGGCACCAGCACAGGTTGCCCAGAGAAGCTGTGGATGCCCCATCTCTGGGAAGTGATCAAGGCAAGGTGAGACAACGCTTGGAGCAACCTGGTGTAGTGGAAGGGGTTTGGGTTTGGACCTAGATGGTCTTTAAGGTCCCTTCCAACCTCAAGCAGTCTTGTTCTGTGATTCCTTTTACCACTCCAGTCCTGTGACAGCCCATGGAAGCAGCAAATCCCCTTCTGTGAGCTTGGCTGGAGCAGTTTCCAGCTCCATGCACACCACGGGCAATGTGGCTTTGGGAGCACAGTGGTCAAAGCAAGGCAGCTTCTGTCATGCTATTACTTTTATTACAAAACCCTCAGTACCTCAACACCCCTCAACCCTGCACAGAGCAACCAGGAAGAACAGCCACAATGCAGTTGCAGCAGGACGCTGTGCCCTTGGAATGTGGTCAAGCAGCAGTGCCCTGTTTGCAAGGATATTGGTGGTGGACTGAGAGGGGGTGTGTCATGCTGGTTTTGGTGTTGAATTATGCTAAAACCAGTCTTAAATTATCCCAAAGTTAACATGCTAAAAGTGAAGCAAGGATTTGGCAGATATGATAAAGTATCATTATCTAAAAATGCTAAGCTGTCACAGTTGGGCCAGAGCTCGACAGTCAAATCACTTCATACTATAAAGGTCCAGCCCACTTTCATAGGGCAAGTTCTTCTAACATAAACCTTTCTTGGGGCATGTGTGTGTGGAGTTTCCTCCCTTGAGCGGGGGGCATCTCAAGGTTACTCCTCGAGGCTGAGTGAAAGAGAGGGATCCACAGCCACTGGTATGGGTGAGTTACATCAACCTCTACTTAGTAACTATTTCTTTTTTTGGTAGCTTTTTAATATAAGTGCTTGGATACAGTGCACTATCCTACACTATACTATGCTATACTAGTAATTTTAGCTTCTATACTGTGTAGTAAATAATTTGGATTAAGATATTTTTGTCTAATCATTTATCATAAATATTTTTATATAAATCTATCTGATTTGCCATCCTTAGTCCTGCGGCACAAAGTTGTACAAAGGTTCAATTGTACCTCTGTAATTCCTTAAACCACTGGCAGTCTGGGGATAACACTGGACTCAGCTGTACCCAGACTCCTGTCTGAGAAGGAGTTTAAAAAGCAAGGGAATCCTTTCTGCATCTTATGACTCAATGGGAGGGCTTCTCTAATAAACTTTGTCTGAAGCTCCTACTCCACCTGCAACAGAAGTTCTCTGCTCAACATGATACAAAGCTTCCAAGAGAACAGCATCGACAGGGACCTTCCCTGTATCTCCCTTCCTTTTGGGACAGAGCTGCAGCAATAACAGAGTGACTGTCACAGGTCTTTCCAAATGAATATGTCTTGTGCTGAGCTGTCAATAACCAAAATAGCCTATATGTGATTAAAACAATGTAAACCCTAATCAAAATAGTATAAAAATATAAAATTTGTAGGAGAGGGGCCAAGGGATAAACACATGTATTACTTTTAACCTGTCAGGCTTTCAGAATTCAAATAACAAATTACCTCAAATGACATTTGCCTGCCCTGACGAGCTCATGGCTCCCAGGTGCCGCTGTTGCCCAGGGTGACAACTGAACTAAGTAGGTTAAAAAATGCTCTATTATTCACCTGCTCCAAAGTATTTTAAAACAAGCGTTGTTACATATCAGAAAGATTACACTGGTTATGAGGAGAAAATAAACTATGTATTTTACAAAGAATTGAAGCTTTTTTTCATAAGAAATACTCTCTGTATAGTGATGCATTGCATGGACATTTGATGGTTCTGGGGTGATGGTTCTGATAGGAATGATAAAGTCTAAAATAAAATAAAGTTTAAACTAAAGTAAAAAATACAAAGCTACAATAAAGACAAATAAAATAAATCATAGAGTAAAATAAAATAATATAAAGAGCCTAAATAAAAAAGCCTAAAATCAAATATCTCTGCTCTGGAGGAACTGCATCCACCCCCCTAGAACTCAAAACATTCCCTGACCCCCAATTCCCTTCCCCCCAAAAAACACCCAAACTCCCACTCATTGCAGGCATGTTCTGGGGGGGGGCAAAGCCCCCCAAAATGCCTCCCAGCTTCATTTTGAGGTGTCCTCCTCCCATTCTACCTCCCCCCACCTCTGCTTGAGGTCCCCCATCCATTTTAGGGCATTATTTGGGGGGAACCCTGAAGTACAGAGAGGCACCCCAACACACAGGGGGGAGAACTCAGAATGGGAGGAACACAAAAATGTAGGGAGGGATTGCAAAATGGAGAGAGGATCCCAAAGTGGAGAGGGACCCTAAAATGGAAAGATGGAATTCTGAAGTGGAGGGGAAACCCCAAAATGGGGGAAGGGGGCCAAAATGGAGGGAAAGGCACCCCAAAATGGAGGGGGGGAGACAAAAAATGGAGAGGGGACATCCCAAAATGGAGAACAGAGATCCAGAAATGGAGGGGTGGCACCCCAAAATTTGGGGGTAAGCCCAAAATGGAGTGGGTATCCTGAAATGGATTGGGACCCCAATGCTGGGGGGGACCCAAAATGGAGGGGGAACCTGAAATGGAAGGGGGGACACAAAATGGAGGGCAGAAACCCCAGATACAGGAGGGACACCCCAAAATGGAGAAGGGAGCAGAAAGTGGAGGATGGGGAGCAAACATTTCAGGGAAATCCCTGAAATGGAGATTGAAGAACTCCACAGCACCCCAGAAAGGAGTGGGACCCCTATATTATGCCCCCCCACACCTTTATCACCCTTTCACCCCAAACCCAATGCTGCCCACGTTTCTCAGGAGGTCAAATAACACACTTTTACTGGCAAACTTTAGAAAATCAAGTTTGACAAAAAACTTGACAAAAGTTTAAAGGGCAACATTCAACAAAAATAAAGCATTTCACATGGCGATGACTTAGCACATGCTAACCCACACAATTTAGCAAAATCCAACCCATCCATCTTTAAGTAACCCAAATATCAAGGAAGAAGTTTAGAAGAACTAAAGAAAGAGAGAGAAAAAAAGAGAAAAGGAGAATTATAGCTACAACTCTAGATACAGCATAGATCCAGCTCCTAGGAGTTCAGGAAATGGCAGGGGGCGAGGCCACGTGGACACCACATTTATCTGCTTTATTGGCTTTATCTGTGGCCACAGAGGGCCAGAGCACCCTGGTGGGACTTCTGGCTCACTGAGCACTCTGGGGCCAGACTGTGGTTCCAAGGTGGGGTGTGGGGCAGTGGTCCTGGTGTGCCAGTGACTGACAGCTGCTCCAGGGCTGGCCAAGGAGGTTCCAAGGAGCCAGAGTATGGAACTATTCCACCTTCATGAAATTCAACCTGTCCCTTAACATCCCCCCACCAGGCCACACACTGGAGTTGGGCCGAGCCAGTAATGAATATAATAATTAAGTGTCTCTCACAGCCCCCCTGTGCTGGGCACTGCTGAGTCACCTTGAGTGCTGTGTCCAGCTCTGGGCCCCTCACTGCAAGACAGGCTGGAGTGGATCCACAGCCAGGAATGGAACTGGGGAAGTGTCTGGAGAGTCAGTCACCAGAGCAGCTGAGGGAGCTCAGGGGGCTCAGCCTGGAGAAAAAGAGGATCAAGGGGGACCTTATCACTCTCTACAACTTCCTGACAGGAGGACAGAGCCAGATGGGAGTCGCTTTCTTCATCCAGGTATTAATTATACAATTAGCAGTACCTATACAAAAAATGTTCAGCTCAAATTTGTTTCCAACCCACTCTGGGCAGATCTGTCGTTATCTCGACCCTTTGTGCCACACACTGGGCACAAAATGAGGTTGTCATGGTATTCTACAATTCGGTACACCCACTAAAACCATGTGCTAGTCCACCCTGCCCCCCTCCAATTTGAGACACAAAAGGCAAAGATCATGGCTGGAGTAAAGAACAGTTTACTGGAAGCAGCAATGAGATATGGAAACGAAGAGTGGTAGCAAAAATATTAATAACAAAAGTGAATAAAAGAGAGAGTGATTCACATACAAAAAATGCTTACCGTGGAGCTCATGGACCCAACCGTAGCCACACTGCCCTTAGCACAAGAGAGCCCTTCATTCTGGAAAAAAGAGACTTCCTTGCCCCCAGCCCCGGTTTTGACATGAGGTGGTACAAAATAACCTCTGGGTCCTAGCCATGCCACCTTCCAGCTACTGCAAAAAATTAACCCTGCCCTGGCCAGAACCAGGACACAAGGAGAAGGAAGGAAAGGGAGAAGTAAGCCAAGGTAAGGCCAGGCAAGGGAGGGGAAGGCAAGAAAAGGCAAAGCAGGGGTAGGAAGTGAAAGGTAAGGCAGGGGTAGACAAGACAAAGCAAGAGAGTGGCAGCAAAGGTAAGACAAGGGGTTGGTAGGAAAGGCAAAGTGACTAAGGAGTAGGCAAGGCAATGAAAAGGAGGGGTAGGCAAGGCAAGACAAGGGAGTTGTAGTCAAAGGCAAGCAATGAGTAGGCAAGGCAATGCAAGGGAGGGGAAGGTAAGGGAAGGCAAGGGAAGGGTAGGCAAGACAAGGATATGTGTAGGCAAGGCAAGGCAGGGGATGAATGGCAAGGCAAAGGAGGGGGAGGAG